GTGGCTCCAACATTTGACGGAAATTGTAAATTACAATTGACTTATGCGTGCACATTCACTTCTGTACGTGCATACGTGTGTACGTATGAAATTGAAAATACTTGTTTAACGGGCCTATGCGTCTGCGCATTGATTTTCAAAAGTTGCTGGTGCCGCTGCTCTTCATTGTCGGGAATTACGGGTAATGCGCGCAAAGTGCACTTCAATTGTCCAACCATTATGCCAAATGCGCTTGCATATGTACATACACACATTCAAGCACATCAACAAATCTGTGTACTTATCCCTTAATTTGTGTTGATTCATTGACGCATAAAAAAGCATTAAATTGAATTTATTTATATGTAAGTAAATAAGTGCTTTCATGTAACCAGAAACGTATGTTAAATAGATACTACGCATACACAGAGTTCATGTTAAATATTAACATTTATATGGTTATTTGGTTATGTGTGCAACATTATTTGTACAGAGGTACGTCATGTGTTAAGTGCACTGAAGAAATGGTAAATTGGAGGGTTGTCCTAAGAACAAAAAAAAAAAAAAACAAATTTATTTAAAAATAAATATTTTTCTTCAACTTTTATTAATAAACAAATTTTATTGTAAGCAAAATTTTAAATTGCAAAAATAAATTTAAATTGATGTTGAATTGGATATATTAGATTCTAATCAATATAAATATAATTTGCGTCGAATTTGTCATTAATATCGTTATCCTAACATGAAATTCTTTAACACTCTTTTATCCTAAAATGGTAAAATTGGACAACATTAATGTGTGCCTTCCACAATATCTGCAGATTTTACTTTACATTGGATACTTGGACATTAAAAAAAGATTTTGAACTGTTACATTAAGACATATAAACACCCGATCGGGTCGATTTTTATTTTCCTAGCGTTTGTTTTTTTTTTTTTTGTTTGCTCTATTTCTGACAAATTTCAAGCAAACAGTGATGATTAACATTCGAATCTCCACTAAACACGCTAGTTTTATTCTTATTTGAACAAAATCAGTTTATATAACATCTGATCAAGAATTACCCGGATTGACAAAAAAAAAAACAAAAAGCTCATTTTCTAGAATTTTAATACACATCATTATCACCATCTTCAAACTAGACACCTGAGCCAATAGAAGCAGGTCAAAGATTAATACACTTTTCCATATACTTATTTCAAGCCTCGGCTGAGATGGCCTTCAGTAGCTTCAACGAATTTTGAAATTTTTCGGTTTCTGCTGATTTTTGAAGCGCCATTCGCTAGAAAGATGAACAGTTTTAACGTTATATATATAAAACTATAAAACCACATCTCGTCACCAGTAAAGATGCATTTGATAAACGTAAGGTTCAGCTCAGCTACAGTGTAAACCGTATCTTTGCAACCTCTACTCGACGTCGCTTTTGCAAATGATTCAGATTTTAGGTGTGTCTTTAATCGAACTTTAAGAGATGTTGAGATGTTCCCTCTCTGATGACAACACCATGATTTGCAAGCACTTTTTCGATGCTTTCGCCATTAACAGAGGGGAATGGACGACTAGCAGGAGGCGTTAGTTGTGCAGATCAAGGAAAAAATTATCAACTTTCCGTATAATGTATTTTGATCTTAATCTGTCACTAAAGTTTATATAATTTCAAAGAGTCCTTAATTTGTGCATTAACTAACTTTTACCCTTACTTACCTATTATCTATATTATCTTGTCAACATAAAATAAATTAGTGAAAACAATATGAAATCATAATTTCTTTGCTAATGGCTCAAGTTCTACTTCAAACAGTGAATATGGAAACGTATTTATTTATATTCTCAACGCCCATTTTTTGCCATGGCGAATTGCAGTAAAGTTTAAATGACAAAATTCACCAACAAAAATAAAATATACAATCACAACTAATCCATCTGGCAACGTAATTACAAGTTCGCCGAGTCAGTGCACGCGACTGTCGTTATGCCACAAAATAGCTAAAAGCCCGTGCTAGAATATTACCACATTTTATCTCTGCGTATGAACTTCCATTCACTTGCCTATTCAATTAAACTTAAGTGCATTTATGTATATGTGCATGTATGCAAGTTGCTGTATTTGTTTATTGCTGTGACTTGATTGCATATTATGCAAATGTGGCTACAAAAAACAGTTTTTGTCGTTGCGACGGGTATTTAGGTGCCATTGACTTCTTTGCATGGCAGTTTTAAGTTCAACTGCAGTATTGTCATGCCGATTATCAAGCATAATATTTCGGAAGCAGACTGCCGACAATGAAAGGCTTTGAAAATGATTACTTCGTTGCACTCCACGGGCCACTCTTGAGAATATTAAGTGTGCCTTTTCCCTTTATCAATATTTCACGATCATTTAAACTTGCTGACTTAATTGATATATCAAGTTCAAGTTATTTTAAAGTTATGAAACAGTATTTAGCTCTATATGTAGAACTATGATGAAATCATAAATTTTTTGTAAGAATTAATGCCCTCATGCGAGGCTGTTTTGATCTTTTCATTGGGGGTGTTTTTTTTTTGCGGGTGCCAAGCCCAGTGCACCATCCTGGGGAGGGCTGATTCGCTTTCTCACTTCAGCTCGCTTTCAAACGCATGTTTCTTGGCTACCAAGAGGATACTCCGAGGAAAACCGGAAGTGGTGAGCCATATGTAAACAAATCGTTTCTGACCACTCCCACACGGTTCCATCCTGCAGTACCCGCCGGGGGAAGCAGAGGAAGAGAAAGACCTTTACTCCGTTGGAAAGACTAGGTGGAGAAGGACGTGGAAACACTTAAAGAAGAACGAGTGGAGCGCTGTTGTTAACGCAGCTAAACCATGTAAGAGTCCACGCCAATAAAAAGGAAGAAAGTGTATGCTTGGTATACCAAAAAGATGTCTTTGATGGTGCAGCGGTATCATGCTTTGCAGTCCGTCATTTCCGTCCGAAAGGTATTGTGACGGGATTTTGATCGCACTTCCCCGAGTAGATGGACCTTTATAAGGTTGTTAAACATGTTTTGCGAAGTTGAAAGTAATAAGACCGTTCCATCGAGATGCGTAAATTGGTGTTCAAGAAAAATTATGGCTGTTGCATTCTCAATTCAGGCAAATCCAAGAGTTTCGACTCGCAACTTGGAGCTAGTAGACGGTAATTACAACGTAGAATTCGTGGCCACTTAAAGCTGTTGTTCAAAGTTCAAATAACAAGCCGGCTAAACTCTCTAAACTTGCCTATTCGAATGCAATTTTGCCAAAAAATTATTGAACTCTCCGAAAAAGACAATAACATGATAGATTGCCGGTTTATGTCTGATCAGGCCTATTTTGATCTAAACGGAAATGTAAAGAAGCAAAATTGGCATATAAGGAAGGAATTAAATACAGAAAGAGTTCAAAAGACGGAACTTTACGCAGAACGAGTCACGGTGTGGTGCACAGTTTCATTAAGGCGGTACAGTAACTGTCAATAGGAACTGTTATTTTAGAGGACACATCCCTTTCAATATCGTTTGGTTTCAGCAAGATGGAGCAACTGCGCACATAACCAGACCGGTTATTGTGGGGCTCCAACGAGAGTTTGAAAACAAATTAATATCAAGAAACTTCACTTTCCGCTGGCCTCCAAGGTCTCCGACCTCACTGCACCAGATTTTTTTTATAGGGTTATGTTAGGCAACAGGTGCACAAAACAAAACATTAAATCGATAATTGAGGCAATCCCGACTTCAACAGTGCAAAATTTTCTAATGCAACACCTAAGCATATGCGTGGTTTAGCAAGGAGATCATTTATTATCCATAAATATCAAAAGTGATTTCGCAGGTATCTTAAAAATTTTAGAATCCTTGCAAAAGTTATAGGTTTTACTTCTTTATAAACAGTATCTGGAGGGCTAAATCTCTGCGAACCAAGGTGTTTCGACCTTGATCTCGCAAGGAAGATACATTCATGAAAAATAAGGAAGGACAACTTTCACAAAATTTTAACCTCACCGCGTGAACGCATTAACGTAGCAAATACAAAAATCAATCATAGAATAACTATTCGCAAGAAGTAAAGCCTAAAATATTTCAATGCCATTTATTACGTATCAGGTTAGGATTCTTATTTCATAACACAAATTCCTTTATGGTAATTTATTTAACAATTTCAGCACTATGTTCATGCTTAGCTTGTTAGAAAAAAAAAAACAAAAACTACATTCCAGTACAATGAGGACAACAAAAATGCGAAGAAAGTAAATGTGGTGGCGTATGTAATTCTCTCTTGTACTTGAGCTGGTTTCTTTTAACCCATTGATTGCCCCAAATCGAATAATTGGTATGTGTGCGTGGCATGGCATATGTCATTACAATAAACTACAGAACTTTGAAGGGGTGACTTTACGTATAAGTTTAGACTGTAGGTGGTTGTACAGTAGAAAACCCATTAGCTGAAGTAACTATTACAAATAACTTTGACTATTCACCTTTTAAAACTAATATCCGATTTCATCAGTTTTCATATAGAATGAAAACAATTTTAAATTTAGGTGAGCAATGAAACAATCTTTAAAGTCGATGTTTTCATTAATAGTGTTCAATGATGCAACGAATATTTGCAGAAATTCCAAATCCAAAAAAAATCTGAAATAATCAATATTATATATATTATATAAAATACGAATGCATTCTTTGGGGTCAAACGGAAACTAGTTCCAGTACACATACTTAAGCCTAATTGCCCATTAAATTGCAAGCTACTACCAATAATGTGCACATACACAGATACATATGCAAATTCATATAGTATATTATTGATATATTTTCGCTCCATTAATTACACATAAACTTGACCTTCACCATAATGACCACGGTCACTTTGAGGTGGTTTTGTGGTGCCAACGAACCAAAACTATTTTAGCCCCTTCAGTCGTAAATTAATAATATTTTAGTACACTTTCATGTAGTAATTGCTTAGTGTTGGAATTATTGAACGAAATATGCCAAAATTTCCATATTTACAGAATTGTCAGAAAATTATACGCTTACGTTCGTTGAACGCGAAGACAGACCCAGCCGCATTGGCGCGTGAAGTCGTGGACAAATGTGATCTCATACACAAATCCCAATTGGCGGATGTGGAGCAGATAATATTCTATCTGAAGAATCGAAAGGACAATACTGGTGCAGGTGAGTATATAAATACGTGCATATATATACATGTGAAAATATTGTTCCTTTAGACATCGCTGACAATAACAGTCACCATCGGTCGGCTGTATCGGGAAAGCGTACACCGGCCAACAAGGCGAACCCAGCCTCAGCTGTTCTGTCACCCGCTAAGACACCAGCTAGCAATGCAGATGTCTCCATCAATAATATTGATGAATATGTGGAGTTGTTGTACGAGGACTTGAGTGAACGAATACGTGGTTCAGCAATGATCCTGCAAGTGGCACGCAACCCAGATAATTTGGAAGAGCTGGAGAAAAATGGTTTGTGTATAAGGTTCATAGATTTTACTAAGAAAAATTATTGAACTGTTTTTCTGATACTTTAGAGGCTTGTCTGAGCGCTTTATCGCGCGTATTACGAGAGGATTGGCGCAAGAGTTTAGATCTATCCACAAATATAATATATATATTTTTCTGTTTTTCGACCTATACGAAATTTCATCCCGTTATTGTGCAATATAAGGTGATTAAAAAAAACCTTAAAACTATGAAACACAAATATTCTATTCCCATCGGTATCATTTTTTATCCCAGATTGGTTCCCTCTGCATGGACGTCATAGACTATGAGCTGCGACGTTATGAAACAATGCGGAATGAGTTGGACGTGAGAAAGAATCCGGTTACCTCTGCACCACTTTCGGCTAAATCCAGCAAAGAGAAACTGAACCGCAGCACTGATGATTTCCTCGATATAATGAATGAGGAAAAACCAAAGGAAGTAAGTTGAAACGTCGGTACCACTCAAAAATATAACTAAAATCACACCAATAACATGTAACTTTTCACGCAGATGGAACCACCACGTCGTCGCATACCCGAACTCAAACAACGTCCCAAATCTGGAAATTGGTCTAGTTTCCACGGTTCAATGACTTCCTCCATGATGAAAAGTCAAATACTCAACAGTAGTTATCATGAGGCTCTTTCCACCGGTGCTGCCACACCTGACTCGGGCATTTCATCGAACGGTGACATGAAAGCGACCAGCAATGAGGCGCTCGATCGCAACGATCCGAAGGTGAAGAAAGAAGAGATCGATCGTCTAAATAAGCAGTTAAAAGTATTTGCTAAGAAACAAGAGCAACTATTACGTGTTGCTTTCTACCTGCTACTTAATATGGCCGAGAATATTAAATTGGAGGAAAAGATGAGACGCAAGCACATCGTGAAAATGCTCGTCAAAACATTGGATCGACAAAATATCGATCTCTTAATGTTGGTGACAACATTTCTGAAAAAGTTATCTATCGTACGTGACAATAAAGATGATATGGGCGAGTTCAATGTCATTGCCAAATTGCCACGCCTATTCCAAAGTGGTCACACCGATTTGGCACAAGTGACACTGAAACTGGTCTTTAATTTATCATTTGATGGTGTGTTGCGACGAAAAATGGTCGGTGCTGGTTACCTGCCAAAGCTGGTGATGTTCATCAATGATGAGAAACATCACGGCATCGCAATGAAGATACTCTATCACATGAGCTTAGATGATTGGGTGAGTGTCAGAGTTCATATACAAAATTTATATTTATATTAACGTATTACCATTACAGGTTAAAGGCTTATTCACACACACTGAGTGTGTTCAAATGGCCACCGATGCCATAATACTCAATCTGAATAGCAAGGTTGATCTCGATCTCATCGCACTCTGCATCAATCTATCGCTGAACAAACGTAATGCACAAATCATGGTCGAAGGCAATCGGCTGCATGATCTAATGGATCGCGCTTTCAAATATCAGGACTCACTATTAATGAAACTACTGCGCAATCTTTCACAACACGAAATGTTACAACCAAAATTTATTGACTATGTCGGCGATCTGGCACGCATTCTCACAATTTGCGAAGATGAATCGTTTGTGGTGGAATGTCTTGGTATACTCGGTAATCTCTCATTAGCCGATTTGGATTACTCACAAATATTGCAGAACTTCCAACTAATACCCTGGATAAGGGATGTGCTTGTGCCCGGTGCCAAATTGGACGATATGGTACTCGATACAATTGTTTATTTGGGTACTTGTGCACATGACGAACTTTGTGCGTTGCTGTTCTGTCGCGCTAAGGTTGTGCTCTCGTTGATCGAGCTGCTGAAGGCCAAACAAGAGGACGACGAAATTGTCTTACAGATCATTTTCGTATTCCAACAGATTTTACGACACGAAAGCACACGCGAATATATGATCAAAGAGACTGAATCACCGGCGTATCTGATCGATTTGATGCATGACAAGAATGCCGAGATACGTAAAGTCTGCGATTATTGCCTCGACATCATTGCTATCAGTGACAGTGAGTGGGCCAAACGGATCAAGGTGAGTGGATTGCACTATGAAATGACTTTGAAGCGCTAAATTAAATAGAGACGGAAAACCTTATCTTAATTATATACATATAAACGTTTTTATGTTAAAGCCAAATTCTATTTTCATTATATAAATTTATATAATTTTTATTAATTCTAATTTTTTTATTAATCATCTATATATTTTATAGCTCGAAAAGTTCCGCAATCACAATTCACAGTGGCTTTGTATGGTTGAATCGCAGCAAGATCAAGACAATGAACAAGACTATGCTGACAATGATGAGAACGAAAACGAACTCGACACCTATTTGCGCAACGATTATTTGGACAACTGCGATCTCTACAATAGCAGCAATACAAATAAGGAGAGTGAGGATAATGAAAGCAACAATAGCAACAATCCAGCCAGTCCTGCACTGTCTACCTATAGTCGCCCAGTGAGCAGGTGAGAGAATAACAGACATTTTAGTTGACCGTCCTTGACCGGATAAAAAATCCGGGTGGGAACGGGGGTCAAAAAATTCTTACGGATATAAAAGAAAAAAAGAATCATTTGTGATTGAAATTGGCTACTGTAACATTTTAAAGAGATTTATTTCAGAAAAATTTCATATTTATGGAGGTTTTAGTCTCTTGAGATCAATTTAATATCGTTTTTAATTACTGATTTTTAATAGACCTAATGAGTCTAAATTTAAAAATATTTATTAATTGAATAAGCTTTAAGTAATTCAAATGGAAATTATATTTATATAATTTAATTTTTGCCCTTTAGGTGAAAGCTGAAAAGTTGTCCGAAAGCTCTAAAAAAATACGAATAAAAGAGTTTTATATTTAACCTTTTAAAATTAGCAAGGAATTAGAATTGTGTATAACGTTCGACGTGTAGTGTACTCTTTATATTAAAATACTTAACCTTATTATTTTGGGGCAAAGATTTTTGTTTCGGCTGGTTTGAAAATAGAGTGAGTATTATCTATAATAAATTTTAAATAGCCTATGCTAGAAATTTAATGCATCTGAATGCCCAAAATCACCTAAATCTGAGCTGTTTGTTCAATAATTTACTAATAAATGATGGGGACATAATTCTCTGTTCGGTCGAAACCGTACATATATACCCAATGCAAAGAAAGGACAATTTACCGAATGCTTTGTGCGAAATTTTAATGGATTGGTTGAACATTAATCGTTTCATTGATTTAAATCAGTTATTTGTTCGATTCGTTACTCTCCAACTTTTCAAAAATAGAATTAAGTAGTTAAATAAGTTAGGCACGGAGCTTCTATTTTGGGTTTGTTGTGAATCCTTATCTTTCGCGGTATTTATTTAATCATCAATTGAAAATTTTTGTAATACCTCTTTGCATTTATGTATTGGGTATACAAATAGCTGCTTCCATTTTGCAAATACTTTGGCATTTACTATTAAAACGGAGTTGTAAATATTACTGGTTCTGGCTTTTCAGATGGACACATACCAAATCACACACTGCGCGACATAAGCAATGGCCGTCAATGTATTTTCGTTTAAACAAAAAGTTTTTAAAACACAAACTTGAGAAAATTACTCACTGAAAAAGGTTTTTATCGATTTTAATATTAACTACCTTTAAATCCGCCTGCTCAAACTTTACTGTCCAGTGTAATTCATATTTCGATAACACAAATTTGTTATGCATTAAAATAAATGTTATGGAAGTGACGTCCAAAATACATACATACATACATATCGTAACTCCATACCATATATTGGCCATAAAGGATGTGATACGCCTTATTCATGTTTCGAAATCATCCAAATTTACGTCTTCCAAAGTTGTCTGTTCTATTTACGTATAGTCTGTATATTAATATACATGTTCTCAATATATGTATGTATGTAGCACTAGTCCATAACATTCTTGTCTTTTGTCCCGACAATTATTCACAATTCTTCAATCCCCAAACTGTCAGTGTCCCCCTTTTGTTCAACTTGCACACCTCTTTTTCCAAGGTCACCACAGCTGTGAGTTCACATTTCACCACTCATAAGCACTTTCTTAATACACTATTTCTTGCAGTTCATTTCAAACTAATGATAGGTATACGGTTCATAAATCAAAGTATTTTCGGGTGGCACTTTTCAGAGTAATATATAATAATAGTAAAGAGATTTTGTTGATATTGCCCTTTAATATTTTATTTCAAAAAAGTTAGGATGAAAAATGTATGTAGTGGTTTCTTTCTCAATTAAGCAATAATCTCTTTCAATTTTTTTAGTAGCAGTCGTGATTTATTCTTATCTTTTTCTAAGGCCGATCTAATCATTTAATTAATCTGTCAATAATAGTTCTAAAAAATGTGTAAACTTCACCTTTTAAAAACCTTCAAAGCTGGATTGTTTTCTTCCATTCGGACAACATAACCTAGTCAGCGCAACCACTGTTTCTTGTTTCGCTGAACTATGTCAATGTCGCCGTATATCTCGTACAGTTCAAAGTTCCATGGGCTAAGGGGCAGTTGATAACAGGACGGGAATGATCAGGGACTTGTAGAGTTTGTTCTTTGTTCGGCGAGAGAGGAATTACTTTCCAACGCGTACTCAACACAAAGTAGCACTTGGTATTGGACGGCCTCGCTTAGTATCAATCCTGACGAAGCTTTTGGTATTGCTCAATCTCAGTTTATGCCGCCGTATTAGCTTTGCGAGGATACCACGCTCAGATATAGCGCCATAGAAGCAATTCTTTTTCATGCTGTCGAAGGCTGTCGGCTTTAAAATTGACGAAGAGATGGTGTGCTCGATCTGTCTTTCACGGGTTCTTTCCAAGTCATGGCGCATGGTGAAAATCTGGTCCAAAGCCACACCGATAAGGTTCAAACAGTTTGTTAAGGGTGGGCTTCAGTTTTCCACACACTATGCTCGATAAGACCTTATATGCAATATCAAGAAGGCTTATCCAATGGTAATTGCCGCATTACCCATCGGCTCCCGCCGCTTTACGTCTCTACAGATTGCTATTGGAACTTATACATATTCTGGCAAGGAACGTCTATTCCATTATCATCGATTGGGGAATGGGGTACGCCATTTCTAGATGTTACACTTTCAATGCTGTTCAGCAGGCTGGAAAAGTGTTTCCTACATTACTTCAGTAGGCTCTGAAAATCAGCCACTAGGGATTATCCCTTTGGGTCCCACAAGAGTATACTACGGTCTGGAAACCTTCCGTTATTCGACGAACCTTTTCGAGAATTACCCGTATCGGCCAGCTTCTCAAGCTCTTCTTCTTTTGATATACAGGTAATCCAGAAGTTAGGAGCAGCATAGGTGTGGTATCTCGATGTCAAGTCTGTATGAGTAAAAATAAAATAAGATTAAGTGGGTTGCACCATGTCACATGTCAACACGAGTCAATAAACCAGAGGATATAGGTCCATCTGCTGTTCGAACTCTTCGCCTGCAAGTTTTAAAGAATTAAAGGAAGGCCTTGTTATTTCTCGCTTAAGTAGGACTTTGAAATAGTTTTTAATTTAAATACGAACTTTATTGAACTAAATGCTCGAAATGCTAAAAATTCGAAAACTATAAATTACCGTTAAAACTAGTTGTTTTTAAAGTCCTTAAAAGAATGCATTGAGTATAAAAAACTCCAACGTTTGAGCGAATTGAACATTTTGTTTTGCTTGAAGCTACACTCACACATAAATGTATGCATACTCGTACATATTTCTAAAGAAGTGTAGCAAATCCGAAAGTACGCTAATCACTACCTACATGTTTTTGTACTTATAAAATAAAATTGGCTAAATCGCAAGAAATCATTTCATTTTTATTTGCCAGTTTATAGCTAACTGTACTTTTATATTTGTCTACCAATAGCTACCGGCGCAGCGAGGACCTCGACGATCTCTTCAACATGACTTCGAGTTCGAAATCGCAAGGATCCAGCCAAGGCGATAGCAACTACATGTTCAAGTCGAACAAATCGCTGGATGTTGAGGGACTGCACGAGGAATTGTTGATGGCCTAAAATGCACATTTGTATATGAAATATGTAATACATGTATATGTATGTATGTATATAATGATATATATATCCACTTATAAGCAGGTGCGTCGTTATAAAGTACATTTGTACATACATACATACATATGTATGTAGTTATGTATTGTATGAAGAATTAAGGAAAATGTTGCATTAAGGCGCTCCTCAACTCCCCCTCAATTGTTTGGAAAATAAGGTTTTGCACTACAACAACAAATGTAAAGGAAGTTTTTCTTTTTCTTAACAGTAAGTTATATTTTGGCTAATATGTAGTTGCCACATATTACTACGTGTAATTGTTGTTGTTTGTGACTGTCCAAATCGTAGCAGCGCTCGTGTCACAACCTACCAACCAACTTAAAACGAGTCGAAATAATCACATACAAGCAAATGTATATGTATGTGTTCATTTATATATATAAGATGCATTTACATACAGACGATATGTTTAACCCTTGAAGAACAAACTCGACTTTCGACTATATGCAAAGCAGAAATGTTTATAAGTAATAATGGAAAACCAAAAAGAAAATAAAAGAAAACAAGAAAGTGGTGTGAAACCGCAATTTTAATTAGTGCAAAAATATTTAAGTGAAATTGTATTTTATTGAAATTTCATACAGACACGCTTGCTTTAACTTACATACATAACTGTAAAGAACGATTGGCTTGCAAATGCTTTGCTTATTTCAGACATGCTTAAATGTAGATATGTAGCTTGCATTTGGAAATGCGCGCATAAAATATATGCGACGATAGAAAAAAGTCTTAAGTAAACTATATTCCGCACGCACATTAGTTATTTTATGTAGTTTAATTTATTTTATAAACAAAAGATATATGTATGTATGGATATTGAAAATGTTGCATATATATTATATTTATGTAGCGAAATGAAAGAACAAAAAAACTAGAAAACAGCCAACAGCCAAACAAACAAAGAATTCAAATCCCAAAAACCGCTCAAAAGGCAACCTTGTATAACGGTTAATGAAAGCATATAAGACAAAATTTCATTGCAATTCATCGACGCTAGTCCTCTTAAACGTTTAAGTTACTTGTTTAGCTTTACATACTTACATATGTATATGTTTATATTTATGTATTTTATATTTGTACGTGTATGTGCATGACATGTTAATGCATTTTAGTCGAATTATAGACCAAAAGGCAATTTCAGCACTTTCAACAGTGTGTTTTGAAAAGTTTCTGAATGTGATATGTGTTTAAGTATATAATATACATGTATGTGTATGCTGACTATGTTTAAAATACACAAGATGTTATTAAGGCTAATTTATTGCTAAATTAATTGTTCAATTTATTATTATATTTTTTTATGAGTTTAGTTGTGGCGTTAGTATGTGCCCATCTTTTATAACTGTTAATTGTGGCTAATGTTCAATAAATGATCTAAAGCGAATGCTTCAGTTTCTAGCCGCGGTATCTTTCTAAAAAGAAACTTAAAAAAAAATCGAAATTGAGGTTCTATAGCGATATTAAAAAAAAACATTAAAAATAAAAATTTAAAGAATTATTATTTCCTAAAACGAAGATGAACTCGTAAGAAAAGTTTAAGTTTATAAAACAAAAATAAAGAATCGAGTTTCTAGTACCGGTATTTTCAAAAAAAAAAAAAAATTAATTTAAACAATATTTTTTTCTTTAAAACAATTTTTATTTCCTAAAGCGAAGATTAACGATTTCAAAATTTTAAATTTATAAAAAATAAATATTCAGCAACAGTATTTTTTTTCAAATCCATTGAAGTTTCCTGAAGCGAAGATGAAATCGTATTAAAAGTTAAATTTATAAAACAAAATGAGACTTCGAGCTTCTAGTAACGGTATTTTTCAAACACAAATCTATAAAACCCATTTTTTTTTTCAGTGAAAGAATTATTATTTCTTAAAACGAAATTGAACTCGTGTCAAAAGTTTAAATTTATAAAAAAAATTAAAATTTGGAGTATTTTTTATTTTTAAGCCATATTGTTCTCTGTTTCGTTCAAAAAAACTTCTATATAGTCACCTGAAATGAAAAACAATTCATCATAAAAAAATCGAAAATCGCTGTCAGATATAATAACCAATATATAACGACTATATATCAAAAACTGAAAATTTGTTTCAATATGAGTGCATATTAACCAATATATAACCACTTTATAACCAAAACTCAAATTTCGATATTAGTAGTTCAATTATATCGTTTTTCCTCCACTTGAAGACTTATGAAAAGTAATGTTACCTTATTTTGCATTTTAGGTGACGATATAGATATACAAAATTGTTGAAAATAATTGAAGTGCTCCACTGAATTTCGGTACGATTAAATTTCTCTGAAGCAAAATTAATTTATAGCTTCGATTTTGTTATAGAAAGCTTTAATTGATTTCGAAATGAAGATACCGGTATTAAAAATAAAGTTATACTAAAACTGAAAAAAAATTCTTCAAAATTGTACTTCAAAAATGAACAATAACTTCGAATACCGCTAATTTCTACAATAAAAAACGCAGTAATTAAGAAGCGATAAAAAGTCACACACTTACATATGTATTTGCGACAGTGCAGCGCTACTCTAAGAAACGATAACGCGATTTTGTACGAAGTGAACGTTTTCCTCAGTCAAGCTCTCTTGAAAGTGTTCATATTTTAAATATTTCCATATTTTTATACGCTGCATGAAAAATACATATTTATTAGCAGTTAATTTTATTTACAACATAATTTTGGTTATAATTTGTATATTATAATAATTATAATATTATTGTTTGAAATTTATGTTTTGTTTGAAAATTAATATTTTTTGTTATGTTAAAAGCCTTTATGCTGAAAAATGCCATATTTTTTAAGTAATCTACTGCTATTGAAGCAATAAGCGAGCATATTTAATACAACCAAATATGTACCGACGATATTATTTCTTTATGAATTTTTGATTTTTTATGAATTTTACATTCTTTATGAATTTTACGCTTTCGGCTCACACATACACAAATCTGTAAAATATTTTAAGCAAATTAACAGCGTACAAAATCAAAGAAAAGAAAATACAAACAATAAAAACAAAGCTTTTTCATGTGTAGCTGCAGTAGCTTCTAAAAACAATGAGAGTTTATTCAAATAAATCTGTATTGAAATATATATAAATTATAAAAACGAAATAAATTACAAAAAATAATAATACAAATAAATTATAAAATGTTATAAAACATTGTGACCACTACAAGATACTAAAGCGCCGGCCCTGCTTATAGATAATAGGGAATTGGTTGGCTCTAGAGTGTTGCCTCGAAAGTATTCGCTAGAAAATTGAAATTTAAAAGAAAATGTGAAAAGTAAATGCAAACAGACGAAGCCCATTTATTGTATTTAAAGCTGAAATTGAAATTATAACTAAAACAAAATTGTAATCGGGTACTGTAAGAAGCCATACATTCAACAAAATAAATAATTACTGCATCTGTATATTTAAAATATATTGAAATAAGAGTTTTTAATATTTTTGGGAGGGTTGACATTGACCTCGAAGAGATCAGTTGACAGAAGATTTTCTTTGGGGGAAATTAATGGTAAGTTTTGGATTAAAAATGTATTCTTTTTTAAATATGTTTCAAAATAATTAATTCAAAAGTATTTGAAATTTGAAAAAAAGATGACATCGAGGTCATCCAACGGTAAGCCCAGGAAACGTGCTGCTTCAACGAGTTCCGACCATAGGGAAAGGAGTGCCAGATGTGTAGATTTAGCTGTTCATGCAAAGAGGTGGTTAGTGTCATTCGGAGACTCGTTGCACGCTAGACATACATACATATTAGACATATCAAATATATCAAGAACGAAGCCGCGCAAGGGACACTCTCGATTCCTGCGGTAACTCGAGCTCTTCGACTACAAAGGGTGGTGGTTCGACTTTAAGTACGCCTTTTACTGAGAGGGAGGCGGTGCAGGTGTTAATGACTCTACTGTGAATGGCGGTCAGTGCATGTCTGGAAGTTGTTGCGTACGAAGTCTGGTCAACATATTGTTTTATGTTGTTGACGTAGTTGAGAAAAGACCTTTCGATGCTCGTAGGAAGCGGTTCCGTTACAAGCACGTGACTGCCGGGATGATTTCTGTGCAAGCAGGTGCAGGTGTTCGATGGAAGACATCTAGAGGCATCCCGTTGTAGTCCGGAGTGCAGTATTCTGACTTCTTTAGCTTCCTCGCGGCGTAGTTAAGGACTGTATGTTGACAGAAACGTTTCCTTGTCTTTTCCACACATGCTGGCAATTAGCGAATTGAGGATTTTGTTGCGAAGTTAGCTTTATTAAAGTTAACTAAAGTGCGGTTGTTCACAGAAATAAAGTATCCGAGACAATTATGGATAGATAGTCTGATGCGATAGGCAACTAGGTTATGCTATTTATCAAACCACCACTAGCAATGGTAACAATTCTCACAACAGCCGGTTCTAGGTTACAGAAAATACCCGGATTTTATCCGATCAATGGCGTAGTGCCAACTTCGAAGCCATCTAAATTAAATTTAAAATGTAAAAATTTATGCACCTTTTCTGAATTTTACTTATCATACTTACCGTTAGATTTTAATAACTATTTATTTTGAAATATTTTTTTTTATTGTTTTTACAAATATATGTTAACGCAATTATTTATTTCAAATACATAGTTAATTTTTTACAAAATTAATAAATAGTACTACATGCAATAAAAAGCAATACAATTTAAAAGCCTTTCAATATTTCGTATAATTCGCTTTCTGCTCAATTCAATTATATTACATATTCAATAAGTGCGTGTATAGATATACCTACATACACATATTTTCAAAGGGCATGTGATTAGTTTGCGTATTTGAAATGAAATTATTTCATATTGGCCCTGCCAGGATTATAAAAGTATAAAAATGACAAAGAGTTAATAACAATTAAATACAATATTAATTACTTATGTTTGTATGTTATTAATGTGCCGTTATTATTTTCTTCATATAACAAAACTAAAAATATACACATACATTAAATTCTAATGAGTGAGGATAAAAACTAAAGGCAGTAAAAAATAAAACGTTCCACAAGCTGCAAATTTTCTTAAAGTTCGCAACAAAATGTTCAAAAATGTTTTATGCTATAAAAAACTTACGAATTTTTACGCTTAAATTTGAGATTCTTTGTTATTTTCGAAGTTTGCTCTCTGAACAAATTGCACTTGGATTTCGTGTGTTTTTCTTTAAATATATATACATACATATGTACGAAACCAGCAACGCTATAAATCACAAATTGATATACATATTACAGTGATACATATAAAACATATATATTTTCGAAATATTGAGTTCAGTTTGAGTTCTACGTTTTTAAGTACCTTCACTAGTATAATTTCACTTGGGTAAAACAATTCATTTCATGAGGTAAGTTTTATAAAAAGCGTTTAAAATTTGCAATAAATAAAAATAATTAGTGGCAATTTTTCATTCATATCTTTTTTAAATAAGCTTTAAACACATATGTATATCTTAGCCTTATCTTTATACTTTGACTACCAAAATAATATAAATTGCTGTTTGCTCACACATCGTCCCAGTAGTACTTTACATTATCACGTTCCCGTGGCACATAAAAGGCCGCACAAGTGCTTTCCCACACCTCCTTTGGATATTCCCACTCCGAACTGAAGGCCCACTGCTTTGTGTCCAAGTCGTAGGACTGTACCGCCGATGTGGCACGATTAATGGTTGCCGTTGAGAGTAAACCGCCGATAAAGTAAACTTTTCGCTTGACGGCCGCTACGCCGGTGTAATACTTAGGCATTGGATTTCGTGATTCTGTGATCCATTGGTCGGTTGTTGGATCATACACATCTACGGCATCAGCTAATACTCGCATTTCAGTCACTGGATCCTCATACCAACCGCCAAAGGCATAAATGCGACCATCGAAAACAATCAGGACATGGTCGGCACGAGGTGTCGGCATTGGGCAGAGTTTATGCCATGTGTTAGATTTCGTGTCGAATCTCCAAAGTGAGGCAAGTACAATGTGCCGGTCAATACCACCTATGGGTATTAAGCAAAAACTTAAACTTGTTTACAATCACTTATAGCCTTATAAAATTTCACTTACCCGATATATACAACTGATCGCCCAAGACAACGCCCGCATGTTGGCTACGATTCTCCGACAACGCGGGTAAGTACTCCCAGCGGTCGGTATTCGCATCGTAACGTTCACAATTCGAAACTGTCATATCGTGTGCCCACAGTTCGGCGCCGCCATCATTTTCGTTTAGCTCACAAACCCCACCCACCGCATATAGAAAATGACTACCCATGGCATTCAGGGAGAAACGACAACGGTCCGCTTGTATTGGCGCAATACTTTTCCATTTGTTTTTGGCGGGACAGTAGCGAAAGCCAAATGGATGTATGTACTCCTTGAGACAGACATCATATGAGCCGCCTACCACATACAAATCATTGCCTAACACTGCTGTACCATAGTTGCCTAATAATATATAAATACAAAAAATATTAAGCTGTAATGTTGTTTCGGGAAAGAAAATAATCTACGCACATTGTTCGATGTGTGGTATAACGGTAAGACTCTCCCATTTCCCTTTGGATGGTAGATAACAACTGATACGATTTGTTAGTCCATTTGTTTCGAAACCACCAATCTTTACTAAGGCCAACTCCATGCCACGAGTGTTCGTTAACACCTCAGCGGAAAGTAAATCGTCTGCATAAACATCGGATAATCGCAACTTCAACATTTCTTGCTTCATCATTTCATCTTTCAATATCCGGTAGTAGGCCGATGCAATCGAATTCGGTTCAGGTTCTGTATTCCATTTGGACTTAATGGCATTCAGCGCACACGCACCGATTTGATGAAATTGTACCTTTCCGAAGATACGGCGTGTCAACTCTGGCTTTAAGTCAGACTCTAAACTATATTCCAGCACAATTTCGAGAACTCTTTGTTCTGAGCAATCCACCGGGTAATTACAAGCAAGTACGTGTTCAAATTGATCCAATGTGAGACTTAATAAATCCGGTGTTTGCGCAAACTCATCGAGTCGTGAACACATGTAGCGGTAGGCCTTCATTTTGAGTGGTTCCAGAGAGTACAAGTCTGCCAACGCAGCGATGGCTACACAATTATCCAAATCAATTTGTGACTCAAGAAAATGTGAACAGGCGTCAATGGCTGCTTTCATTTGGATATGCGTCGATACAGATAAAACATCTTGAACATTATTTCGATCTAATTCCAATTTTGATGTATAGACATATTCCAGCAGCAGCTCCATACCGTGAGCGTTTATACCATTCAGTTTTATTTCAGATTGATGAGCTTCACGCATGGCATCCGTGAACATGGCGCAAAAGTAATCACTACACGCCGCTAATACAACACGATGAGCCTAAATAAACAGGGTTTAAATTTTAATTGTATTCATTTTAGTTTACTTTTGTTAAATGAGAAAAGAGAAAGAAAGAAAACAGTTTATACCTTAAAAATGCGCCCTTCCACAATCAGAGTAACATCGAACAGTTTTTCCGCACAACGTAACGCATTAAGACCCCTCAACAACGCTTCGGAATGTATGATTTGCAGAAAATTATCATTGTTTGCATTACGCGAATATGTTGGTGATGAACAAACTGTGCATGTTGGGTTAGCACGGTTATCGGAGTTACCCTGCGAAATGGAAGCAACGCCACCGGCCATCCTTGCTGATAGTACAATTAAAAATGCTTCAAATCATTCAAGATGGTACCAGCGCGTTAATTCTTTTAACTTATTTTACTTATTTTTAAAGAGGTATGTAAAGCACTATAGCACAAAGTAGAACTGTTGCAACAAGAATAGATACTGGCTTTTAAAGTCTGTGAAAGTAGACCACTATATTGACACCACCGTATTTAGGTTTGATGGTGTGCTACTTATGATGTCATTGACAGCAATTACTATTTTTCTATGAACACTTCCGCTTATTCGTAGCGATTTTCTTGTTATCTCCAATAGCACGTCTCTTATCTCTTAAGCTAGCAAAACGTCTTCTCAATTTGCCACCCCTCTCCTCTTAATTTGAATTAAAAATTACTTATAGATTCTCGTATTGATGTGCTTACAATTATCAAGGTTGGGGAATCCACCGTAAACATACATCTACACATTACCATCAGTGTGAAGCGTTTCGACTGTTTTTTAGCAGGCTTTTTTGTTATAAAATCAAAACCATAGCGACAATCATATCTATAAACTTTATACACATTTTTAATTGAAGTCACAAACTGTGGTATGATTAGTTTTTCACCAACCCTGATCAAAACTATTTGGTCTATTTCAAGAATATCTGACAAATTTCTGCAATATGTGGATTCGCAGAAACTGAATTCTTTTTTAATTGAAAACACACACACAATGCACCACTTGTATCAGGCAACCATCTTTTCCAATAAGAACATAACGCTATTTTCCACAAAATAATTTATTTTACTATTGTAGTATTCTTCGAACAGTATGAACGACAAAATTTATAAAGTGTGAAACGGCTGCAACTTTCATACAAAAAATATTTTTCCGCGAACGTGCATAAGATAAGGAAATGAAATTGACAAATATTAGACAACTTTTGATTGGATAAAATGATCGTAATGACGTTTGAGGACGAAATTTTCGAAATTGCAAAATGTCAGGTGAGATTTCACAGGGTAACTCAGATTCTGTAAAATAAATAAGAAACTAACAAGTATAAAAAAGGTTCGAACGTTTATTTGAATTTATGAATGTTGTTTATCCATTAGAAATAAGTAAAGAACCGAAGCAAAAAACAATAAAAAGCTGATAAACTTCCTAAAACGCATATGTTCAAGTTGAAACGCAGTAGACACTTTTTCCTGAAATAGATATGTGAAATATTCTTTGCAAATAAAATACTCTATGAGAATAACAATAAACAAACAATATATATGAAAACAGGGGACAAAATTTTTAAATTGGTTTTAATTTACATAATTGCAGATTTTTTTCTATTTGCGTTTGCAAGAAAAGATGAAGAACTTGTTTGGTGTTCCCTGCGTTTTCTGTAAATATTTACTCTCAATCCTACACCTCTCTTTCGTAAACAAGATTATCGTTGGTTGCGTCTTGCAATTATCGTTGTGTTATTGCGTCACTTATTCGTTAGCTATTAAGTCAGTGTTACCTTTTCACGTATAAGTACGCTTTCACAAATGGAATTAAATACAAGTTAGTGCAACTCTGCTGCTGTTCTTTATTTTATTTGATGAAAATTTCCTCAGTTTGTCGCCGAAATTGAATGTAATAAGAGGTATTTAAAAGTGTCATAGTGTTTGTTATGTTAATTTGAAGGCATAATTATATCCCGGCTTTTTAATTGATCTTTGCGTTTGTCACAAGTTTTTATAATTTTTAAGAATTGTGTTGTAAAAAGTTTGTTTATAGCAGTGTTAACAACAAGTGCAGAAAGTTATAATTTTATATTTGAAACAAAAGAAGCATTTGTTGACTTACAAAGAAAAAGCCAAGAAGACACAACACCATTTCTTACACGCTTGAATTTGAAACATGTAGAGAAAATCTCTGTCGCGAATGAAATGGCAACGTCAACATTCTTCATTTCTGTTTTGTGCAATTAATGTGACCACAAACTTTCTTAGTAAATTCAAAATAATTTCGTAAGAAACCAGTGTTGTACTAACTAGGTGTACTTTTTGAAAATTTTAAATAATTCGCTTTGTGTGGTCATAACATTCATAACAAAAACTGCGCTTATTGGTGATTCCTCGCTTATTTCATATTTTCTGGATAAAAGTGGGATGCTTTTGTTCACCGGAAAATAACTCCACTTGTCGAACTGGTTTTTAACTTTCTTCGCCGAACTAAGCGATACACAAATACTCACTACACCAACGTAAGCTATTACGGTGGAACACGGACAGAATTCCTCGGTTAGTACACACAAGTACCATTAAAAGAAGTCTGGTGTCAAAGCAGTCTTTAGTTACTCAGTCAGTGAGTTTTTAGGCGACAAATCATTTGTATCTTAATGTTTGGAATCTCAGCAGGCAATAAAACAGGCAGCACCATAAAATTGCTTAATAGCAAACAGTGGAGGTAAATTAAACAGAGGCGCACACATTTTGTTTTATTTTATGAAATATTCATTTATATTAGATTACAAATATTTAAATAAAAAAATGTTCCCTAATATAATTAGCGTTTTTAAAATAAAAGTTTATATCAAAATTATAATCTAACATGTGAAGAATTTAGAAACCTTAGTCAAAATAGTTTGAAAATTTTTATTATTTACTTATTGATTATTTCATTAAAAAACTAACCAAGTGGTATGATTTCAGATTTTTTTTTTTATTTTTAAGTCTTTATCGTTAATGGCCTTTTATCTGTCCCATCTTCGTAATAAAGGGATATGGTGATCAATGACCACAAGAAAGTAATAAAATAGAAAAACTAAACTCGTAACGGTAGGTGATTCAAGATTAATTGACGAACAAGGTCAAAAACATCATATAAATGAGTTACTTACATTCAAGTAAGTTAAAATAAACGCAATAGTCATGTTACCGGCAGATGGTCATTACATTTTCGAAACTACAAAAAAAAAAAAAATCAAGAACTACTGTTCCGATTAATTGAGAATTAAATTCATTACCTAAACCTAGATTAAATTATCTAATTCCTCTAATTTCCTCATTAACTAACCAGCAATAGCTGTTCGTTTGTAAGTGGCGTAAGACCAGAAGTTAAAGCACGAATAGTTTCATTGGTAAAGGTAATAGGCCAAGCAAAGCATATCCAACCTGCTATTTTTTTCTTGTTGCTGCAACCAGTAAACGGGTTTTTGTCGAAGAAGATAAAGAAATATCAGACTCATGCTGTTGCTTGTCAATAAAAAAATGTTGTGATACACATTGAAGCTAGTTATGTTGAAGAACATACTTCAAGCCAGTTTTTTCAGTACTGATTTCGTTATATAATATTATAGAAAATACTTGTATTATATGAAATTCGATAGGCCTCTGCAAGGTGCCAGCGAATTTTGACTCGCTCCATTGAGTTTAACAAACACATGTTTTTAAGTAAGTGTAGAACGTATTAAATCTATTATTTGCTTAATACTAACCAATTTTATATAAAATTTTGTAAAATGTATTTAATTAGTGTTTTGTCAACAAAACTTGATACCCTTCAAAAAACTTGTTTGAGCTTAAATTCAATATTATTAATATTGTATTTATAAATTTCCAATAGATTGAAATCGGTATTTTGTTTTGTTTATATGAATGTACATATGTATGTATGTATGTATATCTGACTGGTTTATTTACGTATATAGAGCTGTGAATAGGCATTTTAAAAAATTTCGATATTGAGGCTTTTTCTATGAAGAAATGTATTAATAAATCTATATATTTACAAGTGCAAACACGTTAAATACATATATATGTAAATACTTTTATGGGCGCAAGAATACTTATAATTAAACTCACAAATTTCATATATCACTAATTGATAACTCACCTAAGTTTGATGAGTATTTCACATTTTGAGCATTCAAATTCAAACCAATAGGGTATCACAAGCATGTACATATGTATATAGTATATGCAGGTCAAATTTAAAAATTATTTCCATTACAGAGTAAAACTATAGATTTCGCAATTTACAAAACAGAAACAAGGGAAGCTAATAATTTAGACGCCAAAAATAACAGAACTGTGTTTAAAAAACGCTGTCAATTAGTATAGTAGTAATTCACTTAAGTTATTAGCACTTATACATACATATATACATATACATATGTACATAAATACAAACGTTTGCTGTAAACAAATGAATATGCATACATAGATAAACAGTTTTTATTAATTGTCGTAAAACGTTAATGTATGTGGACGTAAACAAAACAAAACTTAAGATCGACGTCGTCTTCATCTTCAATTTAGTCGTCGTTGTTGCTGTTCATTGTCTCGATAACGTGTTGATTGTAATTTTTTGCTCTACCGGTCCAGACCAGATCATGCGAACAGTAAGTACTCGTACACATAGTACCGCTAAAAAATAGCATTAAAACTTATCAGAAATAGCTGAATATTTGAATATTACAGCTCCCTTAGATGTTGTTTTCAATCGGATTATAATCCACTTTATTGGTCAAAATTTGAGTTGTTGGAAAAAATTGCAGCCATTTACACTAAAATGCCAAGAGTACAAAATATTTATTACTACATACAAATATACCTTTAGTTACTTGTTCTTTTATAAAGAGCTTGTACATGAGTACTTATCTGTATATACTTTTTTATTTTCAAATTAATTTCTGACTTTATATTGTTTGGTCCTAAGTAAGAAATAACGCCTTTTTAAATGTCAGCACAAGTTGCATACATATGTATGTATGTACATACATACAATTCTAGCGAATAACGATAATGTGTGTTCAATTGATGTCTCGTTATATACAATTAGAATGTAGGATACATCCATACATGTAAACTTGGTATTTAAGTAAATACCATATTCATATTTACTATATATTCTTCAATAAAATAAAATAAATCTCGACTGTCAAATGGACATTTATGTATATAATGGACATTTTCCTCAGATCGCAATGGCATCGCTGATTATAATTAAAAATTTATGACGTATGTACAGTTGCGGTCAAAATAATAGTAGTGCGCACAATGTAAAAAATAAATCAAAACCGGAGACTGTGCAGGTCACTCCATGATCTTAACTCTATTTTTCTGAAACCACTTCATATTGGATTGTACTCCGAGTTTGTTGATCGCCTTACGTATTGACGAGATCCCCTTGCACTCCATAGTACGATTTTGGATTCATCTGTACATAAAATGTTTCTCAATTTGGCTAGGGGTCGTTTGCTAACTTCAGCCGTTGAGCTACTTTTTTTTGTTTATGACAATGGCACTTTTCTTGACCTATGAGTTCTAAATCATGATCTCGCATACGTCTACGAATTGTTTCTATGGGGAAAATACCACGTACTAAAATTAGTCGAAATTGGTTGGTCGGTTATCGAGATATGTGACTTCACCAAAAAGTAGGCGGCACCGCGCCCAGTGCCCAGTTTTTCACACGGGTTCGTATCATCTTAGCGGTAAAATTTTATGTTTCTGGCTTAATTAGTTTTCAACAGTTCAGAAACAGTTATATTTGAATTGATGGGGTTATCTTCGATTTCATCCATTTCCACATTGTTAATAGGAGTTGTTATAATATTTGCGCTAGGTTATTAATTGGGTTAGCATAGCTTTAGTAGTTTAGGAGATACACATGTTAATTAAACTTATTGGAGGTCGGTGCCACCCCCTATTTTTAAACATTTTTTGCCTGCATATGTCCTTTGCTACTGCATTGTCATCCTTTGTGCCACACTCCAATCTTATATCTTAATCTCTCTCTTCGTAATGAAATTTCGTGATCGTGACAGTTGTTCGATTACGCCCATCTGCGAACTCGTACTTGTTTTGCCAAGCAACGCGCATACCAAGTTTCAGCAAGACAGATAAACTGTCAACGGATATAACGGATTTTTTAAAAAGAGTGCTGCAAAGGACACAAACGACGACAAGCCTGCGCCGATTGATGAACTTCGTACGAATATCAACTTCCCTTCAATGCCGGCATTAAAAAGTTCTAGTTCCATTGGAAAGGCAAAGAAAAAGTGTATGTTTTTAAACCTCCATCTATGGAATGTTGAAAAGTCTAATTAAAACGCGATTTTCAAACATTGTAGTTGTCATTATATTTTTGAAGTTTCAAAAAAAAAACAAAGATTTTATCATTGCTTAGTCAGCTTGACAATCAAGTATTTTTGCGGTTTGTCCGCTAGCTCGTTTGACCTTAATCTACGACAACAAGTGAACAAAGCACGTTGATAAATTAATTGAAACCTCGTTTGCGACTGCACCTTCCTCAGCGTCGTCGCCCGCTGCTGCATTGCTATGATCTTTCGGCACTTTTGTTGTCGCTACGAATATTTCAAACAAGGTATTTTTCGTATTCTTTAAATGCGTGAAGTTTTATTTATTTTCACTTCTGGCTAAATAAATACGTATGTATGTATGTGCATATATATAGTGCGTACATATCTATATATACAAGTATGTGAGTTAACCGTATTGCGTTTGCAAGTTGCGTGACTTATACGTAATTGTCTTACATTTTTACACCCTGAACGAACGAACACAAACCACGAATTTTGTAAGGAGACGTCGAAGACCCTATCAAATATACATACAAATGATCTGCGTGACTAGCTGAGTCGTCTCTCTGTGTGACCATAACCTAATGTTAGGTTAATCTGGTAGGCCATTAAGCCACGCCCAGACCAGTTTTGGTTCTTTGCGATACCAGATGGAGTTCATTTTCTAGGTCCAAGAGGAATAGTAGTCTTGCCAATGCGGGACAAGTGCGCAATAGACATTCCCTGCAGTCCTCTCGATCTGTCAACCCCACTCCAAGGGCGTGTGTCGCCACCAGGCAGTGACCAGTTAGTATTCCCATCATGTTCCTGCAGTCTCTTCTATCGAGAGATCATCGCATAGACAATGCAACTGAATCAAAATTAAGTTTTTGTAAGAAAACTTGAGCCTGTGAAGTGTATAATAGCTGCGGTGTAGGCAAAGTTAACATTTTTTCTTGTTTTTTTCTTTTTTGTAGTTATGTACGTAAATATTTTTATTTCTTTCAATTCGCACTCGTTTCTTAACGAGTATGCAGAAATGTAATAAAATACAAATCGGCCTGCGAGGTGTGGTCACATAAATTCCAAATTACACAATGCTACAACTGAAATTGTCTTCAGAGCATAATTTTTAACGTGAAGCCTAAAATTATTCACCCGCCAAGCAACAAAGTTAAATAAAAGAACTTGAAACGATCGGACAAAGTATCAACTCTTTCACCAACGTTAAACTTTGATGCTGCATAAAGATTTGTATAAACATGTATGTACATACAACGTATCCAGTTATGTACGTACATAAGTACATATGTATGTATACAAGCCCTTACAAAGTTATTCGCATTGTTGTTTCTTCAAAATACTCATAAAACAAGTTGGCAGCCGGCAACTAAACTGAAATTCCAATAGCTTTGAACAACAATACCAAGCTTAAGCCAGTAAAAGCATACTTAGTTTCTGCAATTTGCTTTGCAGATCAATGCATCATGWAGCGATTGTTTAAAGGCTTAGGTATGCAGAACGCAAAATTCGTGGCTAAATACATGTCTTACATTCAATTGTCTTATTTTTGAGTTACCGAAAAATTATTAACAAATTACCTGATTTAATCTTGGTAGCTATTATAATTCTAAGAGAAAATATTCAATTATAAATTAAGATTGGTGACGTTCGGGTTATGTAGACATGACTATCATGGGAACGTCGTATATAAATTCTCGGAATGGCGCTCCTACTTTCGAAAAAATATTTGATTATTGTAATAGGTGGAGCAGACTTAATACAAAATAATAAAAAAAAACTGTTTTTTTTTCAGCATTATGCTTTTTGGAGCCGGTTGGCAATATTTCCCGAGAACTATTAAACCGATCTTCATGAAATTTTACACGTGTCTTTGAGATATTTATTGATTACAACTATTTAAAAAAAAAAAATTTCGCGAAATTTTAATTTTTTTTTTTGTTTGTTAAAAATCCAGAACTCTAATTTTCATGTTTTTCTTTCGTCCATGTTCTAGGTTAAGGTTTTAACTATAACACGAATTTTTCACTTTTGATGATCCTGTAAATAGTTATCTTGCCAACGCGGCCCATCTTTTTTCCGAGGGGTCCCAGAAATGGCGTCGCAAGGGTCGAGTTAAACTTTTTAGTTTTAAAAAAATTTCAGAGTTTCTTTGTTAATAGTTTTGGTTACAATAAAAATTCTAATAAAATATTTCACTTTTTATATGAAAAAAATTGTTGAAAAATGCTGTTTTTTATCCGAGAAAACACATGTAACCTCTTAAAGCTCATCTTTGAACGCAAAACTAAATTTGCTTGAGTCACTATAAAATTTTCTACATTTTCTATATATGGTTCACCATGCAAGAGCCTAAGAGGTTTTTGTTAGATAATTTTTTCAGGTTTCATCCGCGATTTCAATTCAGTAATAGAAGACATTATCAAAACTGTTCGAGATTGCGCGCAACTCGAATCATATTTAATTTGTATCAAAATTTTGAAGTTAAACAGTATGATTGCTTACATGTATTTGTCGACTTTAATATAAAACAGATGATCAAAAAGGTTAAATTAAAAAAAAGGGTTTGAAAAATATTGGGAATCACTTCATAAAAATTACTTTAAAAATTCGCTTACGAAAACATTAATTAAATTCCTATGAGGATTGTAAGAATCTGCTGTTTAGTTTTCTTTTTAGCCGGCAGGTAAATCGAACCTGACAAGACACTCCAGCCATGCCGCTATGCAAAAAGCAACCAATTGAAGTTGTTATTTGTTGTTTTTGCGCTCGCTTACTTACTAGCCTCGGCAATAAAGAACAGCAGACGCGCTTTATTTTACGAATTATTGCAACGTGGCATCTGTGTCTTCCATGTTCTAAAGAATCTAACTCATAATGCTCGCTTATTTCCCGTGCTAGGCCAAGCTGCAATTCTCTCATAGTCGATCAATGATCAGCAGCAATTGTTTATTGCTACCAAGACTGTATATACATATGTATATGAATTATGGTTGTTGTTTAGCACTTGGTGGTCTATTGAGTTCTCCACATAGCTTCTGCATTGAGCCGCTCCACATTTTACGGTCTTAACGTTGTGGGCTCGGGCCGTTGGGACCAGGCATATTCTTGCCGATGTTTGTCTTTGATTTTGTAGCAGCATGAGTAACAATCATGCTACAAGCAACACAAGCTCATGGTATTTGTGGTGACAATATATCTTTAGTTCGTGCACTCAATAAACATCACGTTTCTCTCATTTCTTACCAGGTTTATATACACATACGATACATACAGTGTCGGACAAAACTCATTGGACTAAATCGAGTCTCAGGCATATTCTGTCATAACTTTTTACATAGATGCAATAGAAGAATATTTTTTTTTGCAAAATAAAGACCGCATATTCTATATTAATTTGTAAATTATAACAAAAATTAAAAAAGTAAAAAATTTCCGCGACATAACTCATTGGACTTTAGCTCAATATGAAAATAAATTCGTTTTAAATTAATATTTTATTGGGTAGCCAATCTTTTTAATGATTGCAGCACATCTTTTAGGCATAGATGAAATTCAATTATTAATATGTGTGTCATTTATTCCATTCCAGGCTTGTTTCAGGGCATCAAATAGCTTGTTTTTATTACTGTGGACCTGTTCCCTGTTAATCTGCCTGTTGACAATTTCCCATAAGTTTTCAATCGGGTTTATATCAGGAGACTGGGCGGGCCATCTCATAACACAAACTTGTTCTTCCAATCCTTTACAACTTTTGACGTGTGTTTGGGGTCATTACCATGTTGGAACTGCCAATCAGGCGGCATTTTTGTGATAGCGTGGGGTAACGTTTGGGTTTGCAGTATATTTTTATATTGGAACCTATCCATGTTCCCTATTCCCTATTTTGAAAATAGGTCCTACTCCCTGAGCAGAGAAGCATCCCCACACCATAATGTTACCCCCACCATGCTTTACGGTACCCTGCAAATATCGACGGTCTAAACGCTTTCCTGTTGGTCTTCGTACACGTGTCATTCCATCTGAGCTCTGCAAATTAAATTTGGACTCATCTGAATACAATACCGACTTCCATTGCTCCACAGACCAATTGATGTGCAGTTTTGCAAATTCCAAACGTGCTATTCGATTTTTTTTGGAAATATATGGTTTTTTCGCAGCACGGAAACTGAATAGACCAGCATTAACGCCGCGTCGTTGTACTGTACGCACACTCACAGTTAGTTGTAAACTATCTACAACGTTTTTTGCAGACATCTTTGGATCTTTTTTAAATTCGCGCACTATTCTCAAGTCTTCATTTACCGAAGTGAGTCTAGGACGTCCTCCAATATTAAGTTTTTTCACGGTTCCATCAGCTTTGTGCTTGCGTAAAATAGCAGAAATAGTTGATTTCCCAAGAGAATATTTTTTGCAAAGCTCCTTTTGCGAATTCGCTTACAATTAATAATTTAAGTTCAGTGGAATGTGTTTTTCCAACCATTTTTAACTAAAACGATTTTTAGTAGCATTATTCGTAAAAAGTTTAAATATTTCACAACACACCCGTTCTCATTAAAGCAAACAATTCGAATAAGTCTGATCTACGATTTGAAATTCTAAACACCTGCAAAACTCTTTTTCTGACAGATAACGGTAAATTAATTCATTGGAAATGCTTATTTCGGCAATAAATCCCTTCTGGTTTAAGTTAAAAATTGTACATAAAAGTTGAAAAATAAAATTGAATTGTTTTTTAATGTAGAATATGCGATCTTTCTTTTGCAAAAAAAGTTATGACGGAATATGTGTGAGACTCGAGTTAGTCCAATGAGTTTTGTCCGACACTGTATGTACATATGGACATATGTGGCTTATCGACAGGTTTGGTAAAAAGTAGTTTAAATTATAGATTTGTAAATTAAATGGAAAATTAAGTTATGTCACACAATATTTTTTAAGCAAATTCAAATTACACTTCAGAACCTTAAATTTTGTTTATTTGGAAAATGTAAAAATGTTTACTATGTCTCTTCCATTAAATGAATTTTCTATCGTATTTCAGCTATCTGAACCAATGCGCCAATTACTTCAGAAAGTTTTAGTGTTCTTGCTTGGTCCTTTGATTCATAACCGTTTTGGCAATCTTAAAGAGGTATTTTGAAAATTTAGTATTTGGCTAAAAATGTTATTATTTATTCATTACACCGATGCTTGACAGTTTTGTATTTGTGAGTTTAGGGCATATATAAGGTTTTTTAATAGGAAAAACAAAAGTAGACCGATAGGGACCGCTCTTTTGACATTTCTCTTCAGTAAGGTTTGCCATTTCATCACGGAAGGATATACGATCAACGATCCTACATCCTTACAAGATCAAATTGGCGCAAGAGCAACAACTTGAAAATGATTCGGATTTTCATCGAAAATCATCTCCAGCGATGAGGCTCATTTATGTCTGAATTGCTTTGTCAGTAAGCAAAATATGCGTTATTGGTCAGTCCATGAGTCACCATTGCATACCGGAAAAATTACGGTTTGATGCAATTTAAAGGCCGGCGGCGTCATTGGGCCGCACTTCTTCCGTGATGAGAAATACCGACACGTTACTGTGAATGGTAATCACTATCGCTCAATCATAATCGAATATTTTCAGCCCGAATTGGATGATATAGACTAGGACAATATGTGGTTCAAACAGGACGACGCCACAAGCCACATAGCAAATGTCAGAATCGATTTATTGAAAACCAAGTTTGGTTAACGAAATGACTCAGTCAACCAGTCGTCTGAATCGTGCGATTCAACGCCGTTATACTATTTTCTGTGGGGTTATGTCAAGTCTATGTTCTATGCCAACAAGGTAGCGACGATTGATGAGCTTCGTACGAATATTGAACGTGAAATTGGTCGATTTATGCTTGAAAACCATCGAAAATTGAGTTCAGGGACTGGACTTCTTCAAGCGTGCCCGTGGTGGCCATGCAAAAGAAATCGAGTTCCATGCATAATGGCTTGGAATGTACTTTCACAGGAATTAAAAATGTCATTAATAATATCCCAAACCGTTTTTGTTTTATTTTTGCGCTCTTATGGTAAAACCCGTTACTTCGATAGTTTCCACCAATATTAGTAAAACTTTAAGCACCTTTGGATGTGTATATTTCTTAATGATATATAAAAGAGTGAATATATAAAAAAAAATTTCTTCTTCCAGATAATCGTTATAGATAATCGTTATTTATGCTATTATATTTCACTTTCTTTCAAACAAAATAGCATTTCAAAATAAGCCAACTATAAATAACAACTGAAAAAATGTCTTCGTCGCGTAATAAATTCTTTAGTAGCGGTAAATTATCAAATAAGTCTGGTTCGTCAGGTCTCCGCATACTTTGGATACCGGGGGGACGTAAAAGCCATCCCAAAGGTCGTTTCGACTCGACCAACAAGCATGTACCGCACAAAGGTGAACAAAAGAAAAACGAGGTGTGGTCCTTGGGTGGGAGTAAAAATCAAAAAGACCTATTCGAAGCGTAAGTTTTCGCTATATCAAATACAATACCTAAAGAATTAAAACAAAAAACTTGCTTTATTTTTTACTCTGGTGTTCTACAACATCTTCCATCTAATCTGTACATACTTTCGCAATAATTAGTGGATGATGGCATTAAATAACATTCGTAAGTTAATACAAATACAATTCATTATTGTGTACTTAAATAACTGTTTGGACACTACAAACACCATTTTATGCATAATGATACGAGCATGTAAACATTTCATTACAATTCGAAAATTCATTCATTCATTGGTTTGACAAATTAAACTAATTAGAATTAAATTTGTACATACATAATATACATAAATATATAAATATTAAAAATTATAAGCAGCGAATATATAACTAATAACATATCTTGAGGATGATAGATTATAAAATTTTTAAGAATTTTAGTTGTTTCAATTAAATCAACAACCGGCACTAAAAATCAGTTTGGTTTCGAAACGAAATTCATTCAGTTTTGTATAAATACATTTGTATATTCCATGGATATATAAGTAGGTACTTTATATTTTACACTAACGTCCAAGTTGTCTCGAAGACTTAATACAATTGTAAACAAAACTTCATAAGCACGCTCCATAACAAAACTTTGCAACAAATGAGACGGTTATTGTTTTTGTTTACAATTCGCGCTCAACTTATGTATAAACAAAATTGTTTTTTTTTTTTGTTTTTTAATGTAATACATACGTATGACATATACATATACTGTCTCTCTTTCTAAGCTTTGGAGCAATCACATTTCATTGAACGAGCTTGTTGTGATCGTTCCATGCTCACAGTGTCTATATTTGATGCGAAGTGAAGCTAAATCACTGGACACCGTACTCGCAATTTGAGCTTCTCCATATTACGCTCGACTGGATCCAAGCAGCATACATGAATATGCCGCTGGCAAATCTCAATCTCAGCTGTTCAATTATTATTAGAGGAAGGTGTTTGGTTTAGTGCTTGCGTTGGTGTGCCAAATGGTTGACTGCGCTTTTTTGGCGTGAGATTTTCCGGATTTTGAACTGCTCATTAAACAGCGCAACAACAGCAACGCGGATGCCGAAGATGTTGAGCATCTTTCAGTGTTATTTTATCCGTTTAATTTGCTTCTTCTGCTGGTATTTATTCGCTCTGATTTTCTGGAGGTGTTTAAATAACTACAACAAAGGCAACCTTAGACAAAAAGCAATAATATAAAAATTGTTAAAAACCTTAAAATCCAAAATATGAATACATAAAAGCGAAACGTACACTGATTAGTCATTGAGTGCAAAAGAGTTTTAGTCAAATAAAGTATACGTCATTCGCATATTCAAGTGTTGAAGTCACACAAGTGTATGCTTTACAAATGTAAATCGAAAAGAAAAAGTAAAATATTTAACAATATTTAGAACAATTTTTGTAAAACATTCAACATTAACATATTTATATTTATGTGCATTATACAACGCAACAATTATTTATTTCATACATTGTCATTTGATACGTGTGACATCATCATTTAAGCCTAACCCAAGCATTGTTGTGAACGCGATGCGCATACAGAAAATCCAATAATTGACATACAATTCCATCGCATTGCACATGTAAACATGTAATTATTGTACAATCAAATGCCGCTTATAACTTAAATGCGCATTGGCTAACTACGTTCATATACCTGCTTACATACATACAATCATACATTTGTACATATTTACAAATATGGACATTACATTCATTGGCATAACGCATTTTAACTCCAATCGTTATTTAACATGTTTTTTTTTTCTTCTTTAATTTTTTATCCTTTAGTGATCCTGACAATAACCTCTTTGACGGTCCTTCAGTTTCTGGCATAACGTCAGCTGCTTGTGCCCTAGGCACTGTGGGTGTGGAGAAATGTACCAACTCAACAACTACACCAACCATATCTATCTCAACAGCCGAAGGCAGCTTAAGCGCTGATGCTAATGTTCATAACGCAGCACAAACCCCCAGTAGTACAGCCTCTACAACACCTCTAGTATCTATACCGAACAGCCCCGATACTGGTGCCACACCGAAATTAATTGTTATAACAACTGCTAGTACAACGGAGAGTGACAAAAGTCTAAGCTCTAGCAGTATGCCAGCCAAAACTGGGTTTACAACTGTGACCACAACCACAACGGCAGAAATAATGGATGTAAGTATTTACGTATTATATACATATTAAAGTCATATATGTATGTCCTTGATTTAAAAAAGTTGATAAATGGATATACACATTCATATATTATATTTTTAACGCAGGAGAATCGTTTTTCAATTCTCGGCAAAGACATTTCAAACGAGATCGACGTATATGACCTGCCATCACCACCTAAAAATGGTATTAATACTCCACCACCTGAGGGTGCAACGAGTGTGCTCTTGAATACATCGGCTGGTACGACGACTTCAACAGCGACCACACCGTCGCCGTCTAACACACCTAAACAACATAGTGAACGAGATTCTGTGGCTAGTTTATCCCCAAAAAAAAAGCATCAATATAAAAATGAAAATAATAATCATCAGGTAATGTCAATTTGCTGTATCAATACTGTTGTATTATTCATTTAAAAATAATAATAAAACATCTATTTCAGAATGATATTGATTCCATCGAAAGTATATCCGATAATACAAAATTGCCAAGTAACGATCTTGAATGGATTGATGAGCTAGTTCTCGAACGCAATGGCAAGGAATTGCTCAGTAAGAAGAACAAGAAAAAGAAAAAGAAGATCTCAACTACGAAGGAATTAGACCAACTTGACGGCGTATCGAGCAAGCAAAACGCCAAAGACGGCGCTCCCGATGAAGACGATAAAGTGGTAAAGTGTCTTTACTACACATTGATGTGCTGCGATTGTACAATCTCTTAATAGACCACTTAGTCCTGAACAACAATTATTTTTAAACAAAAATATGCAGTTAAGAAACTTTGTATACAATGTTTTACAAAATCAAAATATTTAATTAAACGAGTCTGTCCAGTATATATATATATATATATTTATATAAATACAATTAATAATATAAAATGCAAGACGAACTTGCATTCGCTGAATTACTTAAGAGAAATTGCCAATTGTTAACATGAAATATTCCTGCTGATTAGTTAGTACGTAAGGTAAATATATATGCGTTTAAGAGCCCTATATTGAAGAATAAATACGCTCTTAATATTTTTGTATTTAATACAAAATAATTAATAAGTTATTGTTATGTAATAAAAAACATTCACATGAACGATTTTTATACATACAAAAATATACATATGTATATCTCTTTTATATAAAAGTGAGTACATTAAAATCGCTATTTTAATAAATTAAAAACATGCAACAGTGCAACTGAAGTACGACCATCTGAAAACAATACCATTTGTGTTTTATTTTATATGTGTGTACATATGTACTCGTGTATGGGAAGGTAGAATTTCAAAATAGTATTATTGCGAATATAAAATATAAACCTATATCCATATCTATTTCGTTACTTTAGACTGAACGCTCCAAAACACTCGGACTTTAATGCGATTGAGCACTTGTGGGCAGAAATGGAACGTGTTATCTGCAAACACAACATAACATCTACTGGCCTACATGAAGCAATTCTCAAAGAGTGAAGAAATCGTTGCAGAATTCTCCGAACTTTTCAGTTGAAGTGTTTTTATTTTAAATATGTGCCTTTAAAATTAAAACTTAATTTTTGAGTTTAAATTAAAGTTAAAACTACTATACAGTAAATAAACAGTATATTTTAATAATAATACAACTTTGTAAGATTTCCTAATCTTCATTACATTTAAAAAATGGGCGGATAAGTGTACATAACTTGTTCCATAATATAATATAAATTAATATAAATAAATATAAAGAAACCATCTACCCAACCATCTTATATTATATAACTAATTGTATCGATAGCCAGAAAAAAAAAAACAATTTGTCAAAAGAGAGAACGTACATTTAATAATAAATCTGTTAATAATAAATGTACGCTTTCTGTGATTGGAAATATAATGTCAAAATTAGGCGTTTTAGTTTGTATTGTTTTCATTTTATGATTCGGAAATAAATTTTTCAAAATTTTCGACAAATAAATTGCGTTCTTAAGTGATAATTGAATACGAAGAGATTGAAAATTACATAAAAACATTAAAATGTAAACAGAGGATTGATGGGAAAGGCAAAAATTCATTAATTTTTGCATTATATACAAGTATTTCTTTCATAGGAGGAAGCACGCTCCATTTCGAAACAACCCTCTTTAGTTGATTCATAAAAAAAGCGTTATACATTTTCAGCGATGACGGTATTTCCACATTTTTGGTAATTGTTTACATCACGAGCATATTACATGTGCAGTGGTAATAAAACGATAACATTTTTTATCGATGCCTGATTAACAGCCATACAAAATAAATTATTTTTCACTTTCAGAAAATTATAAAGTAATACTCAAATATTAAATAAAAATAAATATGTAAATATTCATGAAGTTATCAGTTTTAACTGACTCAAAAGGAAAAGCTTTGAGCCATACATTACGCAATACTATTATTTTGACAAATGCAACCCTGGAAATTACGAAACAACAGAGAATAAACAAAACTAAGTGGAAAGGATTTTTTTTGAACTTCTTATGCATGCAAATTCGCGAATATTGTTCAAAAGCGAAATCCTGAAAGGAATATGAAAAAGTTGAAAGTAGATCTGATAGGAATTTTTCAATCAGGTTCAATTTTTCTTGTAAGAAAAAACTGAATTTTTTTCTTATTAGCAAAGCATATCAAAAAACCTATTACCGTTAATTGAAAAATATAAATAAAAACAGTGCTGTGTGCGAAATAGTATTTCATTGTTTCCTCGTTATAAATTTAGCAGTTTAGCAGCAAACTACAGAAATGAATAATATGGTAAGTGTTTGGCAAATAATGGAATACAAATTGCTATACGCTATTTTTGCATAACTAATTTTTTTTAGGATCATGTAAAAAATTTTTATCCTGAAAATTATAAACTGGATCTGTCGGAAACAATGAAGGCAGCGCTATCAAAAGGGCCTGGTGGTGTGGGTCTTGGCGGTGGGGGCGGTGGATCAGGCAGCGCTGGTAGTAGTGGTGGTGGACATGGAATGGGTGCGGCAGTATCTCATAATGAAATACAGACTGGCGGAAGTACCGGTATTCCTGGTGTTGGATACGTAACCGAAAAATTATATATGCTATTGCAGCTCTACTTGCAAAACAAAGGATGGAACCCAAGTGCTGAATTATTGCAATGTTTTACGGATCTCAAAGATAATGCCATGTTACCTAGCGCTGCCTATTTGCAGTATGTAGATAATAATAATATATTTCTCCTATATGCGAGCATTTAAAAACTTTAATACTCAAATTTTTTCCTTAATTTAGAGTACTGGCTAATCGTTTAACTTTGGACGCTCAAGGGCGTTTAATATTGCGAGAAAATGGCAAAATTGTGCTTCCATTCGAACATTTCGCCAACGCTGTGATGCTAAAACACATGTCTGGTCCACATGGACTGCATTTAAGTGTTGAGGCTACTGTGCGTGCAGTGATTGAATCTTACACAATCGGTCGTGAAAATTTTGGCATGGAAAAGGAATTCATAATAGAGGTTGTTCAGTCTTGTCCTAGTCCAGCTTGCCGTTATTATAAAAATCATCTTGGTATGTCACCGTTGCCATTTATGGATCAACAATTCCCAGGCGTAAATCATGCCGATTTCCTACAACATTTGCCACACCTACCCCCACCACCGCCTCACCCCATGGTTCCTGGATCCACAAACAGCGGTGTCTCTTCTGCGGGGTCCTCATCCTCAGCTGGAGGCAATAGTAATATTAGTGGTTCATCTGGTGGTTCTGTTAGTGCTGGCGGAGAAGTCGACTTAACAAAAAGCGCCACAACATCACACTCAACTGGAAAGGTGCCGGTCCCCACTCAACTTCAAATGCTTACAAAGCAACAACAAAACAGTATACAATCACAATTGTCGCAGCTTAGTGCAGCTGCTGCAGCGGCAGCCCACCATCAGCAGCAACAACAAGCCGCTGCTGCTGCAGCTGCTGCTGCCGCCGCAAAACAACAACAACAGGCACAAGCGGCGGCTGTTGCTCAACAACAACAACAGCAGCAACTGACAGCGGCACTTTTACAGCAACAACAAAGTCGTGCATTGGCTCAGCAAAGCTTGGAAAAATTCAATAACTTGAGTGCTTTGGAGAAACAACGTGTGCTACAACAATTAGATCCAAAACATTTCGATCCAATGGCTGTGGCTGCAGCAGCTGCCAATTTACAAATGCAGGGCATTAGTGATTTTAGGGTAAGATAATATGAATATACAATTGTGGATCTATTATAATATATTCAACCTGTAGGTAGCCGCTATCGCTGCTGCAGCCGCACAGGCAGCTGGAGCGTCTCCTATGTTGCCATCATCTTCAACTGCTGCATGTAGTGCACCGATAAGCGGTAGTAGTACTCTTAACAGCAGTAATAGCAGTTTGACCGGAAGTGGTAATAACAGTAATAGTACTACTGGCATTGGAAATTGTGGCGGTAATTTAAGTGGAGCCTCCGTTTTGCCATCAACGGTTGGTAGCATGAACAACAGTGGAAGCAGCAATAGCAGCGCAAGTAGTGCGGGACACATTCCTGTTAATAACACAAGTAACAACAACATCATCGGTGTAAGTGGTAGTGTCAACAATTCTCACCATAGTCATCAATTGCCGCCTCCTTCACAATCGCCTAGTGCGCACTCCAGTCATTCTTCGTCATCATCTTCATCGCACTCCGCTGAACAAATTGTTCAGAAAAATGTAGAACTTTTGCGGTGAGTACGATATTTCAAAATTTGTGAAAGAAATACATCACAAGCATAACCAAAACCGTTATTTACTTTAAGTAATGAGTATTGTTATTCTAGTAGCATAAAATTTTAATTTCAATATAGTTTTGTGGAAACCTGTAAAATCGTCAGCCGTAAGGTGGAAACGGTATATTACTTTTTCGCTTGCGCACATCTGATATATTGTTATTTCATCTGGAAACCTTATTTCTATTTAAAATCAATAGTTTTTGAATACTTTCAGACCTAAAATCGATAAATTGTTACATTCTACATAAAACAACAATTATTTCATTCAAAAATTATTTACAGATCTAATTTGGAATCTATTGAATCGAATAAAGACTTGCTGGCATTGCATAATGGCGCGTGGACTGTACCGGATAATAATCGCGAACCTTTACCAGTGGGCCAAGATAAAATAGTGCGCATTTTCACTGAGCTAATGAGAAATATGGCGCGCATGAAAACCTATATACGTCCGTCTATGTGTAAACCATATGGCAAACAGAGCGAGAGCTTACAGAAAAGTAAAAATTTAATTTTCATTTCAAATATTTAAACATACATATGCCCAAAATATATATTTTAACTTTCTAGCACTTTTGGATACAATACAGATTGTACAAACCTTGCGTAATTGCTTGCCAGCACCCCACATCCCGGTGTCCTCGTGGAAAAGTGAAAGTGAAGGTAACACTGGTTTAATTACTGCGAATAATGGTTCGGGAGGTAGTACGAGTAACAGCATAATGGGTGGAGTAGGCGCTGGTTTAATGGTGACTAATAGAGTGGAAAATTTGACCAACTGAATGTAAGCAAAATATTCCCTTTTTTCATTATATTTATATTTTTTAGTTTTGTTAATTTTAATTTAAACTGTTTTGTGTTTTGCTCTACATCGTTCACAAAAAAAATGGTTCCATAAACTGGATTAACAAAAAACAAGCAATTGCACATTTTTATGTACAGATTTCTCTCCCAATCTTCGAAAAGAGTTACTCCTAGAAGTTCTGTGTTTTTTTTTTTCTCTGCGCTGGAAAATATTATTTTACAAATTTGTAAATCATGAAACTTGTTCCTTTCTTCACCCAACAATATCTCATCGAGTTATACACAAGTTCGTTTTTAAATTGTTTTAACAATACTAATTAAAACTCGCAAGCCAAGAACAAGACTGAAACATTAAGAGACTTGGTACTAATAGAAAATGGAATATGGTTGGTGTAAAGAATGTTTTATTAGTATTAACCCTGTTTGATATCATATCTCAACTCAAGCTTGATAGAAGCGTTTAAAAGTTTTAAATTAGAGGGCATTTAAAAATCGTTCTACTTAAAAAGTACGATATCAATTCACAGTAGTTTTAGCAAAAAAAAAAAAAGATTAAATAAATAAAAATAATACCTAAAAGTGTATGCATATTTAGATGTTAGATTAAGTGCACAATTGATTTAGCTAAAGCTGTCTTTATTTGCATAAGATAAAACTTAATTCTATAAAAATGAAAATTATGCACTCTTTTGAAGATATCTGGTTTAGAACGGAATTCAATACTTATACATTTTGCTTTTAACAAAGAGTACTAATCACGTTTTAAATTTGAGAATCAAGTAATTAGATATTGGCAATGACTTTCTAAACTTAGCTATTGTGCCAATGAGCTGTAGTGTCAAACGCATATAATATTTTAAACAAAAAATGCGCCAGGGTTTTTAAAACCATAAAATAGGCACACGTGCAATTCCAATATAAATGTTGAGAAAAGTAGATTAAATCGAAATACATACATACATAATAATATATATAATTACATATAAACATATGTATATACGTATGTCGAGAGTATATGTTCAGCAATTCACTTCCACATAGTATAAACGGCTTGCAATAATTAATCAAAATGAAATTACGTAATGGCGCTAAGTAGTGCACAATGTTAATTAAACTTATTATGAAGAGTTGTGAAATAAACTTTTTCAGTTTTTTCATGCATTATATTTGTAAGTGCCATGTTTTAAATTCAAAACCGACTGAGCTTGTCTAAGTATTTATTATGTATGGGTGTTCTAAAAAAATATGTTAAGTGTCCCTGTTCCTTTTTATTGTTTTAATTAACGTAACATTTCACTAGCTTATTACATTCAAATGCCAGTACGGATCATGTTTTGTTTTCTTATAAATTCAGTGGTAAGTAAATAAGACAATTTTGGCGAAAACTGTGATACATGAAATTCTATATTTTATATTTTTTCTTATTACCAACATATATATACATGTTTTTACTCATAACATAAACAAATTTTGTTATACAATAACATTACTTTTAGAAATATCTTTTACAAAGTGCATTAAAAATGTTTATTTTATTAACTAACAAGTGTCACAAATTCATTAAAACCCTAACCATATCATTACAATAATTTTGTTGTCATTAATTATTATACATACATACATACATAGATGCGAAAATAAATATATTTTGCTTTACCTGTATTAATCTACAATAAAAGTGTTAAAAAAAAAATAATATATAAAGCAACAATATTAATACATAAAATATGCATATACGTATGTAGGTACTCATATATTCGTAAATAAATGCAGAACATGTGCACAATTTTATTTTTTAAATTTTATTTTAAATTAAAATCTAGCGTTAGATCGCCGCACATTTCTCAATGGGTACCTAAAACATGATGCAATTTATATACATATTTTAAATTTTATGACAGAATTATGTATGCTTAAAGCTTAATTTTATGACATTTCAAGAGGTTGTATTGTTAGTATTAATATAAGTTCAATAATTTTACACTTTTAAGAAAACTGATTTAGTACAGAAATTATTTCTGTTTTTGTAACGATCTTTATTCACAAAAACTCTGCTATATGTAAGAATATATAAAGAATTATAATTATTATACAATAAATTTACAATATACAAATATATGTTTATATGATCACACACAGTATTACAATATTTTGACTGTTATAAATAAGTTTGCATTTTTAGATTTTAGTTTTATGTGGCTCTTACATAACTCTGCTTATGTTCAAACACTTTCTACATATTTACAGTTATTACTTTATAAAAAGGTGTCACTATTATGCATTAAATAATGTTAAAATGTATTGTATCGCTTTCCAAATATTCAATAAAACAATTTATCGCTTAAACCATAATTTTGAGTACTTTATTTTGTGTTAAAACAAACAGAAAATGGGATTTCGTTAAATATAATCACTTTGATTACATTTAGTTGATATTTGAATTCATAAATTACATCTGGCACCAATCCTCAATTTAGTAGTTGAATAGTATTTAGTGGCATCCTTACAGACATGTCAAAGGATATTGATATTTACAAAGGGTGCCATAGCCTATAATATTGTGTTTGAAGAAATTTAATAACATTTATTTAGTATTTACTAATGCGTACTGACGTCGTTACAATGCAATATTGCTGCTTTGCCTGTCTTCAAGAACTTCCGCCAAACACGACCGTACAAAATAGCAAATCGTTACAAAACCTACAATGGAATAAAGATTTGGCTAAAACTTATCATAAGAAAACTGGTATTGTTATTAACTATATAAACGAGTATTCAAAGCAAGTTTGTCAAAATTGTTATAATAAATTAAGGGCTTTCGACAGTTTTTGTGAAACTGCATTAGATTGTTCGACTGCTTTGTCCGAGCTACTACTCGAGGAGGACTTTTCATTGAAGACATTGAAGAATTTACAACACTTCTGCAGTACCTGCTTATGTCAAATTAATGAAATTAACGATTCCTTACATTTAAATAATAAGAAAGTGAAACGGTGGTTGCATGAATACAACAAATTGAAAATGCGTACTGGGACAGAGCATTGGCCAAATAGTTTTTGTCAACAATGCTGCAATAAAATAGACGAATTTCTACAATTCCACTATACAGCTAAACAATCATTTAAACAATTAAACAAAACTTCGAATCAGCAACAAAGTAACGTTGGAAATACATCGAAAGGAGAATAACATTTACCTTTAATGCGACCAGCTAATAACAATCATTTGAGTAAACAGGGTACAGATAAACACATAGAAGTTGATTCTGTTGAAAAGAAGGTTTTGAAGCAGCCCAGCTCAGCAGAACAGTCCTTATGGAAACAATGTAATGAATCAACAGATGTTAAAGATTTAAGCATATCTGGTGGAAGTCATCAAATCCTCTCCAAAGCGCTGCCTGCAATTAGTATAACACCAAGGTCACTTCCAAAAACCAAAAATCAGAATTCAAAGTACTTTGAGGATCAGATTGAACAAACTAATAAATCAGATAAAAAACAAAATCACCTTTCATATCCGTCAAGCAAGGAGGGCTTCCAGTGTAACCATTGCCGAAAAATTTTCAAAACGAAAACCCGTTTAAAGAAGCATAAGCGTTGTTCGATAGTATGTTCGAGCAAATAAATACATTGAAACGCTATATTAATAGCATGCTTGAATTTTCGTTGACTTATTAAAACTAAGTTAAAAATATTAACACAAAATGTCTTTTATATTATACATATATATAAGCATATATCAAATATGGGAAGTATGTATGCATGCTAATAAAAAACTGTTACCATCTTTAAAGTGTTCTTTATCTTTATATTTAATAATTAAAGAAAACTTTACTTTTTATATACATATATAATATAATATTTGATTTAACTGGCAGATGTTATAGTTTGGAAGCAATAATGATTATTCTAGGTTTGTATATGATTATTAATCGATTATGTAGTACAATTTAATCGATGAAACAAATGCAACTATATCTCGATGAAATGTGAAACGCGCGCAAGCCGTTGAATAATTTAGTGTTATATTTACAAATAGCAAGGAATTGGACCCAAAAATCATTTTTGTTCTAACATATGAATAGGTTTTAAATTTTGAAATTAATTTAATAATAAATAAGTGCAAGTGCAAAAATGGCTCTGTGGGTTGATAAACATCGTCCGCGTGAATTATCCAAATTAGATTATCATAAAGTAAGTTGTGCATATTATAATTTCAACCTCTTATTCACTGTGGTTTTCATAATATTCATCTCACAGGAGCAGGCTGAAAATTTGCGAAATCTTTGTCAACAAGGAGATTTTCCACATCTAATGTTTTATGGTCCCTCCGGTGCTGGTAAGAAGACACGAATTATGTGTTTGCTGCGCGAATTATATGGTGCCGGCGTTGAGAGACTGCGCAACGAAACAATGACTTTTACCACGCCATCCAATAGAAAAGTGGAGGTGATGACAGTTGGAAGTAATTATCATCTAGAGGTGAATCCATCTGATGCGGGTATTTATGATCGCGTTGTGGTTATCGACCTTATCAAGCAAGTGGCTCAAACACATCAAATCGATGTATCAGGGCAGCGTGAATTTAAAGTGATTGTACTCTCCGAAGTAGATGAACTGACCAAAGATGCTCAACATGCGCTTCGTCGTACAATGGAAAAATATGTTGCTACGTGTCGAATAATACTGTCGGTAAACTCTACTTCCCGTGTTATACCAGCAATAAGATCACGTTGCTTGGGTATACGTGTAGCAGCGCCCAGCGAAGAAGAAATAACATCGGTACTTCAACTGACTTGTAAACGTGAAGGTTTGACATTGCCGGCCGAGTTGGCAGCACGTATTGTGGATAAAAGTGAACATAATTTGCGTCGTGCATTGTTGATGTTGGAAGCATGTAAGGTACAGCAGTATCCATTTACTGGACAACAGGACATTGTTGAATTAGACTGGCAAGTGTACTTACGTGAAACAGCTAACCAAATTGTGACAGAACAAACCCCCGCAAAATTAGAGAAAATTCGCGATCGTTTGTATGAGTTGCTTGCACAAGGTGTGCCGCCTGATATGATTTTCCGTGGACTAGTAGAGCAACTTGTGAGGAATTGCGATATGTCAATTAAGGCGAAGACATTGGAGTATGCGACCCTATACGAGCACCGAATGCAAAACGGTTCAAAACATATTTTTCATTTGGAGGCGTTTGTTGCTCAATTTATGAACATTTATAAGAAATTCATTTCCGAGTCAATGATGATGGATGATTTTTAATTTTGTGAAAATTTGAAAAATTTATTTGTTTAACGTATTGTTCTAGATAATAAAAAAAAAATTGGAATCTTTACAAAAGCTAATCATAAATAGATAATTTAAGCCGCAGCTTGCTGCCGCGAACGTTTTGAATATTCTTCCTGAAATGCCATTTGGATTTTGTCCTCTGCTGTGCGTTGTGCTGTATCAATGTAGTTCTGGACAACGTCTTCCAATTCAGTGAGTACCTACAAATTTGATTTGTAGTAATATTAGCATTAAATACATAAACGTTTTGTCTGTGCACCTGTTTATACTCTATGTCTGAATCGGCGTTTAGTCTCAACCCATGCAATAAAAGATCAAGGGTGTTGACAGGTAAGCACATTTCTGGATTTGTAACCGCGATAGCATGCTTAAAACTGAAATACTCACTGCCGGCTCCTAACATTGCGTTAATCATTTCCTGTGCTAGTTCCGCAGCTTCAAGCAAGCGATTGTGTTTTACAAATAAATACAATAGTTCTCTGCAATTTGCCAGCTAAAAAACGGAATTTGTGAGCATGTTACTATTATAAAATACAATTTTCAAAACAATACGTACTTTGTAGTCATTGTACAGCCATTGTGGTACGAAAGCGTTCAAGCTTAACAGCTTATTAACCACAGATTTGCGTATACGTGTCGAATTTTCCAGTTCATTGTCATAAACTAATTTTTGTAGCAGTGACCAGGCCATGTCGGCGGGCTTGTTGCGGTGTGGCAAATCTAAATAACAGAAACATACATTGCTTCATAAAATTTAATAGTATAGTATAAAAAATGGCATCGATTTACCAGCCAAGTCATTTTCTTGCAACCACGCCCATGTTTCATTGGCGCCTTCATCGTCAATACGAACGCACGCAGAAGTTAAACTGTCGAATATGGGAAGTGGTGATATCTCAAACCCGTTTACCAGTTTCAATGCATCGGTATATAGACCACAGCCAGATAAGATAATCGCCAACTCTTGTGGTCCTGCATTGATGAAGGTCTGTACGTCTTTGCGGTGATCAGCAAGCCGCACCAATGCTTCCGTCTGAAGTAGTTCACGTTTTATATCTTTTATTTCTAATACCACCACTTGCTCACGACCGCACTCTTCATCCGATTTATTGTCCATTGGATCGGCATCGTTAACTGCACTCGGTGGAGGTGTGTCATCCAAGCCAATTACAGGTTTTGCTATCCAACGATACCGACGATCAATAAGATGCAACGAATTGATGCAAACTAAAAGTGCTGAACATCGCTTTTCCATGGATTCTACCGTATCGCTTTCCAACTGAAAACGCATTGCCTGTTCATACATAATGGCAGAAGCTGTAAACAAAAAAGAAATGTTCAAAGTACTGGAACGTAAATTATTCGTAAATTGTTTGCACACCTTTTCTCATATTTCCATTGTTTACATGAAAGGCATACAGAAAGTCATAGACCTCATTTTGATCAATTACTAGTGATCGTGCACGTGATTCGACAATATTTTCAAATTCTTCATGCAATCCAACATATGGGAAGTGCATTAAAAGATCAAGTCTCTTGCGATTAAATAACGTCACGACCAGCTGTCGTAAACAATCCTTGCGTCGCGATAGCTCCGCATTATAGATGAGCGAGTGGTAAGCCTCCTCATAGTGTTCTAAGCGTAAGTGATTATTGAACACAATCGACTGAAACATCGGCAACTGAGGATCGGATTTGTCCAGCAATCCAATTGCTACTTGCGCCATAGAAATAATGTGATCCAATGCGTTATGCTGCTCAAGCAGTTGTATCACTTTCAAATAGTACTGCGTAATGACCTGGTTATTTATTATATTATCTAAATTATCACCACCACCATCTTCACTCATTGTAGTGAGATTCTCGCAATGTTTAGCTAGAGCGGTGCCCTTAAGAATTTTGTCAATCAAGAACTGCTCTCGCAGGACACCTTTAGCGGATTGCAGGAAAAGGTCGTAGGCCTTATATGTTTCTCCACAGTCCAGCAGAGACACGGCAAGTATAAATTGTCCTAGAGGTAAAAAAAAAAACATTGTAATAAATGATAATTATGTGTGAACTAATTAACATACGTGAGCAAATATTCCATTCACACCAATTGCTGAGCAATCGTACATAATCCTGGATGGCAATGTGCTGACAAGTTCCAAATAACCATTCACCAAATACAAAATTGAACGAAACCGGCCAACTGTAAAGGAGAAAATAATAAACAAATGTACACATGTTGAAAATGGTTAGAAAATTCCAGCATACATTAACTGGCTCACAATTGTAGTTAGCGGCAGCAATGTATTGGACCAAGTAGGAACGTTCTCGCTGTCCTTGAAATTCTCTGCGTACAGTGCACCAGCTGTATACAAACCCTTAGCATTGAGGAAGACACGGAGCAAGGGAGATACATGGTATTTACCACCATTTGTATATATCCGACCGGAGCCATTTGCCAGTTGCAGCAGATTTAAGCGCTGAATAGAGCTCTCTCTGTAAAAACAATAATTTCTGAGTAATAGTAATAAATCACACAAATATATACCTACAATGAAGCAGCTGCGCTGATATTCACAGGCGTCTGTGATATCCAACCCATTACGAAGTACGATTGTAAGAAAATGGTTATGTCGGGTATAAAATGGGACCTTACGGTTTCCAACAAATCAACGCTAAGCGAATAAGTGTCGATTAGGATTTGCTGCAGTATGAGTAGGTTGCGACAAATTGAAAATCTAGAAATAATAGCAAAAAATATATTTAACTGTACAAACACCACATTGATTCACCTACTTGACTGCAGTTACTTGGCGTACTGTTTCCGATAACACTGACAAACCCAAATGGCTACCAAAAAGCACTCCCACTGAATTAACAAACTGCGACGATTGCGTTAAACCTTTAAGAAAATATTGATTAAATAAAAATTTCACAAAAAATTGTAATTCTTACCGATGTTGGTTTGCATTCCGGCTGGATTACCATTATCCATTCGTAGACTATCAAGTAGCAGCATCATTGCCATTCGCATGTCATTAATGGACTGTAATTTTTGTCTAATCCATACTAGGAAACTGCCTGGTAGTATTTCACTATCAGGATCTCCTGCTAAAATTTCATCGCTCAATTTGGCAATGAATACATTTGGCATTTCTAAACGGTAAAGACGTTTATCCACGTCCAATTTGACTTCGTCTGGCAACCAGCGTTCCAGCTGAGCTACAATGGACAGCAAAGTAACGAGGTCTTCACCCACTCCTTCATTGTCTGCAAAGTAGGTTGATACAATTGTGCTTGTGTCGAGATCTTCACCCGCAAGCATAAGATGCTCTAATGTATCGCAAGGACGCAATAGTGAAAAGTTGTTCTTTTTCACCAAACATACTCCATCGATGGATTCGAGCACAAAGAGACCGCAGGGTTGACAGGATTTCAGGTGATACTGTTCGCAACATGAATAGAAACGTTCCCATTGACGCGTCGCTATTTCCAAGTAATCCTCATCAGTGACGTCGAACTCTTTCACTTCATTTTGTATTTCATCTTCGACAGCTTGACAAACTTGATCTTTTAGTACCGGCAGTGTGCAATGTTTTGACTCGAAACGCAGATTCGTACGTCGAAACATCTACAAGAAAATACAATTACTTAATTATTAAGTTATGCTACATAATTTGCAAAAAACAAAAAAGAAAAACAAACAACGCTCACAAATAAAGCTTTAGCAATGACTTCTCTTTCGAAAGTGCCAAGTTGGAAAATATAATTGCAATATGCTTCACGCGGGTCCATGCTATGATCATTTCCTATGAGATATCGATCTGGTGGGGGTTCCATTGCTACAGACGACCAACTCATACCGAGGCCACGCATTAGCGGGTAATTTGAGATACTAAATTCACCTTCTGCATTCGTCCATAGTGCCCAAATTCTGCTTTCTGCTACCGCAAAATCGGCTAAATCTAATAGGGGTGCAGGAATATTTTTACGATAGCTTAAGCTTAACCCCGATGACGACCCAGCATCTTCGTGAATATCTATGCATACAAATTCCGATCGATTAGCATGAGATAAAAATGCACACACTGAGGTGTCGTTTATTTTACGTAGAACATTGCTTTGAGCTGAAAAAATTAAAATTGTGAAGTGAAATTAAAATTTTTTAATTTTTGATTTGATTTCATTGTTAAACTTACGCCCTTGTGTTCGCTGTTTATTGTTTTCGCGTATGCAATCAAAGGAGCAGATACATTGAAAATTATTCGCTGACCACACGCGCAACTGATCGTCACGGTACAAAGCTAATAAATATATCTGTCCATTGAAATAATTGAACACGACTGAGTTAGCATGGTTAGCGTCCGAAACGTCACTTTTACCTCTGTAAACAAATGCAATAAAAACTAATAGTTTTATTATTTCTCAAATTATTATTTTCTAACAACTTACGTGAAGGCGTTTTTCAAATTTGAGAACAGACGAGGCATTATGTTATTTTCTTTCAAGGCTTGAGACGTCGTCGAACCATTTTCGCAATTCATTATGTATAACATAAGCTCAGATTGACACGCTAAAGCAAAGTATGCCTCTTCTCCACTGGGCGACAAAAAGCTGGTCGCAGCGTGAGGTACTGCACTTGATGCGGCATTTTGTGTATCAATAACATAGAAGCTGCTCGGATCACGCACAGAAGAGTTATTAGCTTCGTGAAATATTGAAAATGTTTGGGAATCTTTGAAATCTATTGGCACACCACCGGTGGCCGACTGAAAATTGTTCGATCCGCTTTTTAAACTGACATTGCTGGCTCCACCATCCGCCAAAGTATCTGGATGTGGGAATTTTATATGATGTAAACTACAAACTGTTGTCACTAAAATAGTGACAAACTGATCTTGCTCGCTTATTGCAACATTTAAAACAGGAGTGTCGGAAAATTTGTACCTAACATTGTTTTTATACAAAGTCAAATCCAAACAAACCTCCGATAGTTCAAGAACATCTTGGTATGTGTGCCTATGGTGAGATATGTATAATTATATGTAATG